ATTTAAGAGCAGTACTAAATTTAAGGTCCCATCATTTCACAATTGAAATGGATAGATATAACTGTAAATTCTATGCTAACACTTTCTTTTCTCACACTTCTCCCTTGTTGAACTCTCTCCCAGCTTTTTGTTTTATGGCTAACATTGATCTTCAAAGATTTAAATGCAATATCAGTCATTATTAATCCTTGTTCTTTTATTGTTTCCTCTCCTTAACAATATGTTTTCTCATATTCTCTCTCACTCAATAACCCCTTGTGTCTTCGTGGCTTTATTGCTTTTTTGGTTTGAAATGATTAAACAAAAAAACAACCATTTTCTACAAAATTTATGAAAAATATGTATGTACTAGCAGCATGGCCCGACGTTGCCCGTGCTTGATTCAAAAATTGTACGACTCATACAGCAATCGCTATCACTTGACTTAAAATATTTTTGCCCTTCCTTGCCTTTAAAGGAGTGCTCTTTGCCATGCTGATGTTGCTATATGCCTTACGTCTTGCCTATCTCACACTGCGAATTTTTTCTAAGCTCTATACTAAACATTAAATCTGTTACGAAAAAAGAACTAAACAAAATGAACACAAAACGATCAGCTTTAAAAAAGGACTCGTAACTGGAAAAACCAAATAAAAAAAGAACGTTAACAACAAATACTTTTTCACACCCAACCCAGTACTGTGCAATCAGAATCAACGTTGAGTTTAAGCAAGCGAATGAGCCAATTGGAGTAAAGTGCCATGCAGATTTAAATTTTTCCCACTTGTGACAAATGATGCTATTGATTTTTTGCATGCTAGCATGCTAGTTAACATTCATGTCAGTCAGCTGTTGGCTCTCACGCTGTCCAATAGAATCTTCCTGCCTATTCGTGGCAGCCAGCTATTGGCTCACACTCTGGCCAGTACAAAATGGCCACAAACTACATGAAAACTGCCGTAGAAGCATGAAAAAATTGATTATTTCAACTATCGATGGGAGTTGGGAAATGCAAAGTCAGTCTTGGCCTTCCTGCTAACTTGGAGCATGTGCATGTAAATTTTGGTGCAAATCCATTGAAAATTGCAGAAAACTAAGTTCCAATTTCACTTAGGTTCATTATATTCACTTACGTGATTATACTTGGAAAAGGCATGAAACCACCTCTTCTCTTCCACCAGCTATAGGTTAATTAGCAGGACTTTTATCTGTAAATCCTTATTTCAAAAACATTATTCCAATTTAAAAATATTTTCTGGCTTTAAATAACTTGTCAGAAGTCATAAAAAACAAATCAATTGGTTTCATATCATTTAGAGTGGTGGCTGATGAAAAATTTTAGTTCAAATTTTAATGTAAATTCTGCATTTTCACATAACAAAACAATAAATTCCAATCTACCAAAGATAAAATCTAAAATTAGTTATTTGCAGATCATAAGTTATAGAAATAGAATTTTCAACCTATTGAATGTCAGTTTAAGTAAATTCATAAAGGTTTGAGCCTACCTCACTTGAAAACAAATGTGTAGAATACTTTGCAACAAAACATTGTCAGTCAGCTCAAAAATACCAGTTCATCTACTCAAAGCTATGAGAAGTGACCCCCACTAGCTAAAAAGATAAACAAAATGTCTCGAAATCAAAAAAAAAAACTCATAGGCAACTGAAAGTACATTCTATCTTCTCAAAATGGCTAGAAATCAAAAATCTCACAGGCAACTGAAAGTACATCCTATCTTCTCAAAATGGCTAGAGATCAAAAAACCCACAGGCAACTGAAAGTACATGTCTGCTTCTCTAACCCACTCTGTTTATATCTCTTTTTTTAATCTGAGTAATGATATTTATGAAATGTATGAAGTTTCTCTCTATTGCGCACATCTCCATTTCAATCAATATTTCAAATAAGAAAATTTACAATGAAAATATGCATTAAAAAATTCAACTTATCCATGCATTCACATCCGAAACATTGTCATGAAAATATAAATAAATTGCAGTTACCATAATTAAAGTTTATTTACCATATCAGTTGAGATTATGACTAATTACTAATGTTACTATATATTAATTTGCAGTTGCCCTCCCATGAGATTCATTTACTAATTGAACTAACACCCTTGGGTGTATTAGCTGAATGCATCTTACCCTAACTGGTTTATGGCACTCGGCCTAATCTAATATGTGTCCAATATTTCACTTTGAAGATAACGAGCAGAGTCTCAGATTTGTGATTAGATTAATTCATATGTCCATATTAGAAGTGCTACTCCCCCTGATATGTCCAGTAAAATTACGGCAAATTGCTAAGCAAGTGCATTTATCTAATAATTCAATTAATTGATGGTGTTAACCCATTAAATACACTTGATTCTAAAAAGGTGGGTCAGTCACAAGATTTGAAAAGAATAAAAGTTTCTAGAAATGTTATAATAGCAGTCTTGAGAAACTATGAATTCCAACATCCGACATTGAATTTTTACATTTATTAAACAGTAATTCATGGATGTGTGGGCGGCTCAGTGGTTAGCAACTTGGAAAGAGAAGGTCAATCTGAGTTTGTTACACTCATACAAATACCCTTGGGAAAATTATGAATCCATCTCTTGTCTTCCCAGCTAGAGGTTAAATAGCAGCAGGCCTTGAGGCAGCAATGAAAACTGAATTCAAAACTAGCCTGAAGAGGGATAGGTTCAGTCAGGCTATCATACCCTAGATCAAATTCACTTGTCAATGCATTCTGGGTTAAATGGTGAAGGCACAGATCAACCAACACATTCCAGCCAATATTTGCAAGGAAAAGATGGAAAATTTACATGGATGCAATGTATCAGGTTCAGCAATAGCTAAACATTTGATTAAAAACCAGCATTGTTACAACCCAGACATGTTCTTAGTGCTGAGTAAGGCTAATACTGATTATCACATCAAGGTTTTGAAATCACTATATATTAAGTCCTACCAACCATCTCTCTGTAAGTACAATGACATGATTAGTGGACTTAAGGGTAATTAACATTTAATGTTATATTTTTGGTTTACATATAACAGTGGTTTCCCAATGGTGTAGTGTACCTCATATGTGTGGCAGAAGAGGCTACCATGTGATATGGAATAATTGAGAGACAATCAAAGATTTAAAAACAGTTTCAAAAACTTCATATGCCGAAAAGTAAATATGATTTCAAAATTTAAAATATTATGGATTACTTGTAATTGCATGCACAAGTTCTACTATAAATAGTTATAAATACTTATTGACCAATTTTATCACTGTGATATTTTTTGCATTATATCAAGTATTATGAATATATTAACTAAGCTCTGCAAATTTGAAGAAGGAGTTATCAATGATAATGTTCTGACTTCAAATCCATGGTTATCTCCCTTTGATCTACTGTCTGTCTTATTTTCTCACATAAAATTTGGTAAGGAGCAAGCAAATTTTCATTCTGAAAATGCGTCCGAGAGAAAAAAGTTTGGGAATCACTGCTATAGCAGATGCTTGTTTCTTTAATACCCAGAGAGCTAACCTGCAGTTTATATTGTAACTAGGTAAGTTGCAGTTTCTGGGTGGGGGAGAGAGATAGAGAGAGTATAATCAATATTGGAACATGGCCAGTACATTCAAACTCTTGGTCACAATGACTTGTTTTCTTATGATGGCATAACCACTGATGACTTCCAAACAGTGTTTTTTTTTTTTTAAATCAATTCACCCCAAGCAAGGTGATAATGTCACTAAGATGCAAGGGGCTACTGGAAGTAAAATTGAAACAAAAGTCTTTAGAAGGAACTAAAAACCCAATCCTAAACAGGAAACAAAAAGACTGGGTCAGAGTGTGAACCAGATTATAGAGGAATCTATTAATTCCTATTGAAGAAAAAAAAAGGAATAGTAAATAAAATATCAGAGTTTAAAGAGAGCATTTAGAAGTATAGAGTTGGAGTAGATGGTAGAAAAAATCAGAAGCTCAATCCTAAACAGAAGGCAAGGGTTAAACTTCTAATCTATCCAGTTTCTTTCACCAAGGTATGGTTTAACCTATGATATGGTTGCAGGTACTTTCCTACAGATCAAATCTCTAACTTGATATTATCAATATATCATCTCTTTGATAATTTAACATTGATAAGATTTGAAACTGGGTCTCATGGTCAGAATCTTCTAACTACGCGGCAATGCATCCATAGAAAGATTATATAAAATGCGATTCTGAGAGTGAAGAACAGCCTTAAGTCCTTGAACATTTTGAATGGAGCTTGCCATACATGTATAAAAATATATTGGATAAGTTAATATTTAAAAGATGCCTTATATAGGCTTTTAATAATTCTGAAGCCATTTTTACGTCATCAACATTTGATTAACAATAAATTTCAATATTTTGATGTTTTTGCATCAAAATATTGCCTTGAAAATGATGCAAAGAGAAATTCTAAGCAATTGTTTATGTGTGGGTGGGTTGTTGGGTAGGCGTATGTGTGTCTGAAGGAAAAGAGATTTAAAATGAAAATGTTTGTGTATTCATCAGTTCACACGTATATCCATATGTACATAAAGATGTCTTTTCAAGATGGATTTCTTTATAAATATTACTGATATTTATGTCTTAGAAAGGAAAAGAAATTAGTTATTCAAGGTTCAGAAGTAAAACTCTGCAATCAAACTTGAACTTTGAATATAGTTTTGCTGCCACTATTCGCATGCTTATTATAATCTGTATTTAGTTAATTCTTTTTTTTAACTGAGGGGAATTACTTTGATGTATTCAACCCTGAAGTTGCTACCACTACTACTACTATTACTACTTGTATTGTTAGTACTTAAGATATAGACACACAAACAGAAAATGTGCAAATATTCTTTCTTTTATTTCCAAATTTAAAGCTTTTTCCTTTAAGGTATTTTTCTCGGTTAGAATTCTTTGAGTGGATATGTATGAATTTATTTCTTTAACCAATTCATTTGTAAATACTTGAAAGTGGTAAAGGTGAAAAATATTTATATTATCTCCCATGCAAAAAAGAGAAGGCTCCTCTCTGAAGATACAACTTTTGAGCTTTTCTCTGTCGATATTTCTCTTCTCCTGTACACATTCACTTTCTCTCTCATTTTCTAACAGCATCCTCCACCTTTCCACATCCTACCTTAAGCCTAGACGTTTGCCTTTTATCATCCGCTCGCCTGGTGCCATCGTTCCTTAATCTGACCTTGTTACCATGTTTGCATTACTCAACCGTGAAGCCCTTTGCTTTTTGCTTTCTCCTTCACTTTCTTGTTCAACTTGGGGATTTGGAAAGGAAACTCCCCATCAAAAAATAAGAGATGATGATGATGATGATGTCTACATGGAGAAATCAATAAAACATTTTTAAAAAGTATTTTTTTATATTAGGTTTCTTTTTCATTGCTATTAATCCAGCAACTACCAAAATATTCTCTTCTACAACTTGAAATACTCTCCACTTGAAATACTATCAATAATAATAAAAGAATACTAACAAAATATTTTATGGGATTTCTCGAATTGTCCAGTGTTCAAATCTTACTATTAGTTCTACTCAAAGTCCTATATTACATTTTATGTACAATATTAATAATGATAGAGCTTTGATAATATTAGTAATGAAATCTCCCTGATGATATTAGTAATGACTAGCAGTAGAGCCCGGCGTTGCCCGGGGATGTAATAGTAAGAGATAGATCAAGTATCGACCATCATAAAGACTGAAAAATAAAATTGACAAAAATTATTGTTTAAGGTTGACGGACACGCATGTCTTAATTAGTTTTTTTTTTGGTTTTTTGGGGGGTTTTTTATGAATTGGTCAAACCCAAACTCAAAGAAAAACATTGTTTTCAATTGTTATGAGTCTATCAATTGAATAGAATTTTATTATAAACAATTGTCTTGTAAATGGAATTTTTAAAGCATTCTGAATGTAAAAATAAAGAAAAAAGTGTGCAAGACAATAAGAAACACTACCTGTTTTGTTGAAATCGGTTGAAAAATGTGGGAAATCCGATCCCATATATAATCGAACACACACACACACACAAACCAACCTGGGTTTTATAATAAGTATAACTCGATATGAGTTTTCCCCCTTTCATTAATGCCTCTTAATTGTGTTTTCAAATTGATTTCGTGCAAAAACAATTGTGTTTTTCCAATTTTTGGTGCCGTCAGAACCACCGCAAGGTAATTTTACGTAGTCCTGTGAAGTTTTGTTGAAATCGGTTGAAAAATGTAGGAAATCCAATCCAATATATAAACCAACAGACACACACACACACACACACACACACAACCTGGGTTTTATAATAAGTATGATTATTTTTTCTGAGAATTAAATACTAATTTAGTGTAAATAATCCATCCCTTTGGTTATATCTCTCGATGTCAACTCATGTCATTCTTACATGTTTTATCTGTTTGTAATTTGTGCTGAGAATCCCATGGACTAAATGTGTGAAAGGAGAAAGCTTTAAGGAAAATGGAAACTAAAAAGACACTTTATAGTTACAATCAGAAACAGACAATGAAACTGGATTTTATAATAAGTATGATATAGCTTTGATATTATTAATGACATAAAATTCAGATAAATATGAAATGTGATAGGTCCTGATCTGGCATCTAGTCTACAATTGCATTCCCACAGACATGCCGAGGCTTCCCACTGTCTCTTCTACAAGTATTTTCATGGCAACTGTTTCAGACTGTATGAATTCAACTGAGCTACCAGGCTGGTATCATGGTCCCACTCTTTCACTGTCAAAACAGTTAAATATAACCATCTCTTCTACTAAAACAGCTTCCTCTCCCACAGTTCCCATTTGTGGAAATCCCTTCCCCTTACTTGCTTCCCCAATGACTATAATCTTCAAATATTCAAGTGTAATGTCAATCGACATCTGACACCCTGAGCTTGTTTCCCATCCTTCTCTGTATCCTTTCCTCAAACACGCCTCTTTACTCCTGTTCTCAATCCTCTGTAACCACTTGTGTGCTAGTGGCAATCCCACCTTGCTTGGGGTGAACTGCTTTAAAAAAACCCCAAAAAGAACATTGCCTTTATAATATTAGTAATGACATCTGCTTGATAATATTAGTAATGATATAGCTTTGATACTATTAGTAATGACATTGCCTTTATAATATTAGTAATGACATCTGCTTGATGACATTAGTAATAATATAGCTTTGGTTTAGTTTGGTTTGGTTTATTTTGTTTTACAGCATATCAGCCTCAATGGGTTATTTAATGCCGACAGTATTTTTTATTGCTGGTAATATTTTGTTTTGTCAAAGATCTGTTTCTGGTAATATTTTTCCTTCAAAATTGTATTGCTGGTAATAATTTTTTTTTTGAAAAAGTATTGCTGGTAATAATTTTTTTCAAAAAGGTATTGCTGGTAATAGTTAACTATTTGTTTCATAGCTGGGACCCTAACAGGTGCTGCCACCCTGCGTTAGGGTGGACCTGGGAACACCAGCAATTAAGAGGTGGTTCCACACTCCTCAAAACCTCCTGATCAGAGGCCTTGCTGCTGGATGTAGTTTAACGTCTTACACTGGATGAATAATATAGCTTTGTTAATATTAGTAATCACATCTCCTTGATAATATTAGTAATGATATAGCTTTAATACTATCAGTAATGGCAAGTACATAAAAATAACAGTAACATCTACTTGATAATATTAGTAATGATTTATTAATTCTTTTTTCATTTTTGTTTAGTCAGTGTGTTCTCTGACCTTCATCAGCTGTATGTTGCATCTAATAATCTCAAAAAGCTTTGAACAGAATTCCTTATCTTGTTTATTTATTGCTTAACTTTTGCCACCATATTCTCAGTTTTAAGGGGGGGTGAGCAAGCTGAGAACTTTTCACCATGCTCCCATACCACTACTGAAAATTCTCCTTTATTTTTCAAATAACTGTCTTAAAACAAATTGTGTACAAAATAGAATATTAAAAACTTACTTTGTTTCACAGTGAAATTCAAAAACTCGATATTTTATCATTTTTGATTTGATTTTGAAAAGTGATTAAGAAAAAACACTGAAAATAATTCTGTATATTCCCCAAAATTATTTTGGTTCATTAAATTAACTTTGAGTTTTACTGACTTGTTCATTTGGATATTTCATTGCACCAACAATTTCTAGCAATGTTTAGATTATGGCAGCTATTAAAAACATTACGCATAAACCAGTTATTCAAGATTTCAAAATAAATTTTTTGCTAACTTAAGATGAATTTTCAAAACATTATACAATGATAAAGATGCATAACTTTTTTTCAATATACAAGGTTTTACCCAAAACCTTTCTTTGTGAACTTCAGCTTGTGCACAAATCCATGTAAGGAACCATCTGAGTTTTACTGGCTAAAAGCACTAATGATGGATAACATCATTAGTGCTTTTTTTTTATTAGAAAATCAGATTAGTCTAGTGTGTTAGATTTTGATGTTAAAAAATGCTAAAATGGAAATTATCAAAACATAAATGATTGAATAAACTTAATGTGTTTGGAATGAAAGAAATTATTGAAGGTAACTTTAACATTAGATTGTGGAGGTTGATGCAGAATGTTGCTTTCTTAAGTTCAAAACAAATGAACACTGAACGAACATTGTTTTGGAAGGTTTATTTTCTTCTTTATGAATACAAATTGTATCCTTCTTGTGAAGCAGATAGCTCACAGTATATTGGAACAGAGAATGAAACAGCAAGATGCTTACTTCTTTGTAGCCACCCTGATTAAATATTTTGGTGGTTAAAGGAGTGGGCCAGCCTGTCCCACTTTCTGGCAAAAGGGCAGAGAGAATTGACATTTAGGCCCTATTTTTCCTAGGTTTATATTAAGGTCAGTAAGTGGCAGTTGGTGAGTATAGGATTGTCATTCGCTTTAGTACTGGGTCATTGATCCTTTGTCTCACTTATCCAATTTTCTTCTTTATGAATAGAAATTGTAGCCTTTTTGTAAAGCAGATTTCATAGTTCACAGTATATAGAATAAAGGTCATTGATCTTTTGTTTCACTTATCTAATATCTGGTTTCAGAAATGACGTTAGCTGATTGACTTAAGAACGTTGATGTTAACAGGGTGTTGTGGAGATAACTAGATGTTACTTTTCAGGGGATTTAAGAAATATTCTTATTTTATTTATTAAAGTTTGCCTACAACTCCAACTTGAACTTATGTTCTTGATCTTTTCTATTCTGATTCAACTCCTTTTTTCTTTTGCCATTCTTTTGAATCAATTTGGCTTCCATTTTCTGCTCTTTATTCTCTTATCAATGCCTCTCATTTATTATTCAGTCTTAAAAGATTCAGTAATTACACACACAAATACAGCCACACACACACACAAATACATGCATGCATACACACATGCACACGCATATATAAATTCTGGGTGTGCCAGATCTTTGAGAACATTGTAACAAAGTTATACTAACTAAAATGATAACATGAGAAGTATACAGATGAGATGCAAGGTAGATGCACATTATTACTAAATCTTTACACCATCAAATAAGACCATTTACTTCAAAGGGAATTTATATTGAACAATTTAGCTATATTATGAAGTAATATGTTATACAGTGCAGTAGTTTTAGTGTGATTTTCAATAAACAATGCGATTTTTAAACATTTTGTCTTATATTTTTGTGCCGAGCAGTATTATGATGTTATATACACTTTTATCTATTTTTCGTTTTTATTAAGTCTTATTCATTGAGTATCTTTTATGTAATCTTTTACAATTGTTTTATACAGTTTTTACTTATCAAATACAGTAGAAAAATAGCATATTTTGCTTGTAGTGATTCATAATTAGAATTCTGGTTTGAACATATTTTCAATTCAATGTATCTAATAAAAAAGGTATTAATTTTATAGTAGATTTATTCTTCATATACTATTAATTCTGAAGTGAGTTTGTAAGCAAAATCTGTGGAAATTAGCTATTTCTTTATATTTTTTTTTCAGACAATCTTTAAACCTAAATGCTCAAAAATTGATGAAAGTTATAAATCTAATTTTTGGTGCCAGGACTTACCACATCAAACCCCAGTTTTCACATTGAGTGTAATGTTGATTTTCTAAAGGAAAGTGAAAAATTAACCTCTGCCCTATTGTGGATGTTATTTACCAATATGCACAATAATCATCTAATCTGGGTTGGCAGTTACTTCAAGGTTATCTTTCAGGCCAAGAGTGATTTTATTGAATGGTCATTACCCTGTTTTTGTATCATTTTTAAATTGAACAAACATGTGTAGAAATCTTTGTGAAAATGTGTTCTTTTTTAAGTTGAACATCTCTGTTTCTCCTTAAAATTTGCTCTCAATTGCTTGGCACACCCTTTACATATACATATATATCAACAAAATATATAATTCCAGTCGAATCCATTACATTCACTTACGTGCTAATACCCTTGGGAAAGGTGTGAATCCTCTTCTTCTCCCTCCAGCTATGGGTAAATAGCAGGATAGACTGGGTTCTATAGCCTTGGATGGCAACTGGTCTAGGAGAAGGACAACTCTGAATTCAAAACCTGCAGAGGGTAGTTTGGGAACCTTGTGGCACTCGATGCACCAGGTCTCTGAATTCAGCCCTTCAAAAAGTGTGTCTGGTCCTGCACGAAACCTTCACCAATATAATCAAATCTCATGTGCTGTTGTCGGGCTGTCGGTTTCCTGGGAATTGATCTGCTTGACCCTCATACGTTGAATTCGACAGGAGAGTCAATGAACACTATATATATATATATATATATATATATATATATATATATATATATATATATATATAATACATATAATTTTTGTGTATCTTTGATGATAAAATTTTGTCTTATCAATTCCCATATTTCTTGTCTTCTGTTCATGCTTTGTTTTTCGCCAAAGGAAAATAAATATTCATTCTTTCCTAGATCAACATGCATCTCAACTTTAAACTAAAAAGAACATTTCCCTACTCTTTGCCCTATGATTTATTTTTATATCTATAAAAGATGACAAGAAATAAATACTAAAGCCACAGAAAAAAATATGGATATATCAGAAACTTTTATGTTTCTGTATCACTTTTGAGTGGATGAAAATGGAATAAGGCAGACCATCAAATATTTAATAATATTTCAAAATGAATACATTCTTTCTTTATTGGTTGAATTTTGATCTAAAAGATTATGTATATAATGTTCAATCTCTCAAACTGAGAAGTTTTTCTTTTAATCATTTATATATAGCCAGTGTTGTAACATACATATGGATGATAATGGGTATGTCCCCATTCCCATAAATACAGTAGTGAATACTGTATGTGTTGGTCTGCAATCTGCAGTTGGTGATTCATTGTGGAATTCACTTGACACTTCTAGCAGTTGACTACTTCTTCTATGCGCTGCTGGTGAATCTTATATTTGTTGTTCTTGTCCTAAGTATTATTATTCATTAGCAATCTTTGTGTTTTATTCAGTAACCTTTCAGAGGTTACAACAGCTGTATATCTGATTCAGCACGCACATGGCCACAAAGGACATCACATCTGTCACAATTATGATCTGTACATGCTTTGGTTGAAAACTATTTTAATTTTTGGTGCAACAATTTTATTCTTTCGTTTTTAATATTTAAATGATATTAACATTTTCATTGCCATTTTGTCTAGAAATGAATTTCTTTATTGTAAGATTCCCCCACTTGAACATAGTACAATCCTGCTCTTTCTCTGTTTCTGATCAGTAAATTGATTCCAAGAGTGATCATTTTAAATTGATTTAATGCAAAAATAGGTTAATTTTATGCCTCTACATTGAGAAATCTCATCCTCACATCAAAATCATTTAACAATTTGGTAAACAGCAAAACACTTAGGTAAATATTTTGTTTGTTTTTTTTTGTTTTTTACTTTGTGTTTCATGATTGGAGAATTCTTTGGAAAAATTATAAATGCTTGTTTCCTGTTTTGATGTTAAAAGCATTAAAATAAAGAATGATAAAAACCAATGTACAGTTAATGGAATATCTATATAAAATAGGAATCACTGCCAGCTCCTGATTTTCTGAATCAAACCATATAATAGTTATCAATGTGTATCTATTTATATATTTCCTGTCCCATCTAGAGTGGAGGAAAATCATCTTAAGTTAGTAAGTTTGCATGCAATTACTTTTATGAGTAAGCACATTAATTTATGATTAAACTTTTTCAATTTTTTGCATTCCATTTATTTTTCCTTGTTTTCTTTTCAGTTCTTGACATTTTTCTGCCAACTATTTTTTGCTCTTTTTATTTTTTCTTGTTTCCATTCTAATATTATTTATCACTTCTCTTTCTCTCATTTATACTTTCCACATTTCTCTATCTCACTCATGCTTTCCACCTATCTCTCTCTCTTTCATACATTCCACTTCTCCATCTCTCTCTCTCATACTTTCCATTTTGTTCTCCCTCTCACATATGTTCCATTTCTTTCTCTCTCACTTGTTCTAGGTATGACTATAAACTACATCCATGTCCTGGGTAAGGTGTTAAACTACATCCAACATCAAGGCCTCTGATTGGAGGTTTGAGGAGTGTGGAACCACCTCTTAAGTCCTGGTGCTACCATGTCCACCCTGACTTGGGGTGGTAGTACCTGTTAGGGTCCCAGCTATGGGAAAATAGTTGACCACTCCCAAATAGGAGTCAAAATACTGTGGTAATGTAAAAATAGGTATTAATACCAGTAATAAATTTTTGAGGAAAAATTATTACCAAAAATATATTTTTGAAAAAAAAAAAATTACCAGCAATAATATTATAAAGGAAAAATTATTACCAGCAATACGTTTTTGAAGAAAGAGTTATTACCGGCAATATAGTTTTGAAGGAATAATTATTATCAGAAATACAATTTTGAAGGAACAATTATTACCAGCAATATATTTTTGTAGGAAAAATTATTAGCAATGCTATTTTGAAGGAAAAATTATTGCCAGCAATACATTTTTAAAGGAAAATTATTACAAACAAAATATTATCAGCTATACATTTTTGGAAAAATATTATCTGTTATAGATTTTTCAAATAAAAATATTACCAGAAATAGATTTTTGAAAGAAAAAAACATTACCAGCAATACATTTTTGAAAAAAAATTATTACCAGCAATAAAAATTTTGTCAGCATTAAATAACCCATTGAGGTTGATATGCCGTAAAACAAACCAAATGAAACCAAACCAAATCTCTCTCTCTCTCTCCACTCATACTTTCTGTCTCTCTCTTTCACACATACTTTCCACTCATCCTTCTCTCATTCATACTTTACCCCTCTCTTTCCACTTCTTTCCCTCTCCCTCATACTTTATACTTCTCTCTCTCTCTCTCTCTCTCTATCTCTCACACATAATTTCCACTTCTCTCTCTCACTCATACTTTCCACTTCTCTTCTTCTCATTCATACTTTCCATTTCTCTCTCTCTTTCATTCATACTTTCCACTTCTCTTTCTCTCTCTCATTCATACTTTCCACTTCTCTCTCTCACTCTGTCATTCATACTTTACACTTCTCTCTCTCTGTGTCACTCATACTTTCCACCTCTCTCTCTCCCTCTCACATTTACTTCCTTTTCTTTATACATCCTTTCTTTCCTTGATGATTTTTTCTTAGTAATGTTTTCTTGCAGTTTTTTAGACTACAAGTACTTTACATCTTTTTTATTTCCTGTGATGTAGATGCATTTCTTTCTTTATCACTTTTAGTCCATTTTTCTTTTTTTTTCTTTCTTTTTCTTCTCTTATTTTCTTTCTTTAGAAGATCAAAAAATTGTATAAAGTCAAAAATATTGCTCTCTCAAAGGAAAAAATACAACTAACAAAAAAGACATTAATAATAAAAGTAATATATAAAAAGAATATTCTGAACACTTTATTTAATCTATGGCAGTTGAATGTTTTCATTCCTCTATCCATATATGGAGATATACTTTCTTTTTCATTTTAATAACTGCTCAGTTATTGCTAGTTCAATTTCCATTGAGTCTGTACTACCCAGCCCAAGGATTAAATTAACCATTACTATGTCACTAATGTATGATGTATTGTAAGGGAGGATGAGGCTTGATTTAGAATGTTCGTTTTTATATTCAAAATGGATGGATGCTGAGAAAACTTTGTTTTGGAAGGTTTATTTTCTTTTTCATGAACACAAACTGTATCCTTCAGAGTTTGTGGCTTACAGTACATTTGAACAGAGTGAAAGGGAGCGTGGGACTCCTTCTTCTTTGTAGCAATCGGAAATAATTATTACTTTGGTGGTTAGAGGAGCCCCCTTGCTTTCTGGCAAATGGGTAGAGAGAACTGACCAAGAATCTCTTTTTTACTTTGTTTTATATTGAGGCCAGTAGGTGATCGAGTGAGTGCTAATAGAATTGTCTTTCACTTTGATACAGGGTCTTTGATCTTTTGTTTTGCTTATCCAAGTATCTGGTTCCCAAAACAAAGTTGGCTGATTGAATTGTCCTTAAGAATGCCGGTGTTAATGTTAATCAACTGTTAATGAGATAAATAGGTGATACCTTTCAGAGGATGTAAAAAATATTTTTATTTTATTTATTAAACTTTGCTTACAAGAGAAAAGCATTGGAATGGAATACATTATTACAGTATTTTTTTTTTTTTTTAGATTCCCTTCTTGGTTGGTTGAAAACATTTCAATACTCCTACCTTGTAAGATCTGTTAAATCAATAACCTTTTGTGGATAGGTATTGATTGCATTGTGGGGTAAATAAAAACTAAATTATTAAAAATTATTTGCAATTTTGATTGTAACCTCTTTTGCCAAGGGAACTAGTCATGATTTCTAATTATAAGTAGGAATTTCATGAATAGAGAAGAGTAACATCAAGTATGAAGTAGTTAGTATTAATCTTGAAAGTTTGGATAACCACTTCTCAGATTGATATCTACACTAACCATTCCAATGAGAATATATAACTTTTTTATACACAGCATATGTAGTCTTGTGATATCTATAGAAAAAGCTGATTTTCATGTTCTTGTTAACAGGTTACTGTTTTTTACACACACAAACACACATATATATATATATATATATATATATATATATATATAGTTTATGAAAAACTAGGTAATCCGTATGGGTAAACCCAAGGAGGATAAAATCCAGAGAGCTCAATGTAAATCCAGAGCAAATAATTTAAATAAGAACAGACCACTTTATGGTTCCATGTGATAAATTATTTCGGTCCTTTAAAAGGGCTGCGGATCATCAGACTTTATTTCCAAAGGTTGAAACAAAAAAAATATATATATATATATATATATATAAATATAAAAGTGAACATATAAGTCAGCACTTAGAGGTAACAGTCTGTTTTGTGCTAGATGCAATCGTCAGGCCACAAGTGCTGTTATTTTTCTCAGCTATTTATATATATGGGTCAGTTGTCCATTGTGGGTAGTCTATTTTGGTGGTTATTTTTACCGGAAGTAGTTTCTTTTGTTTATTTATTTATTTGGGTTAAATTATTTTGCTTTTTTTAATTTATTATTATTTTTTATTTTTATTTTTTTATTTTTATTTCTTATCTTATATATTTATTTATTTATCTTATTTTTTATTTTATTTTTTTATACCATATATATATATATATATATATATATATATATATATATATATATATATAGCTACTCTTCAAATAAAAGTGTGCTCTCTCAAACCTTTTGGTTGTTTAAAGAAAAAAGCTGTCAAGAAATGTCTGCTTAAGGTGGGTTAAATTTCAAATCCAGCAGATGTTAGTGGCTTCAGTCTGATAAAACAAAAATTCTCTAGCTGCAACATTTGACAGAGACTTTTATTCTCCTCCCATCCAATTCCTTTTCTTTTTTTTTTACACACAAGGTTTGTCTCTCATTCCAGCCTGTGAGTACCTATATGTAGTTGAATAGTTTTCCTTATTCTTTATAGGCCATGTCCCCTCAGAACGTGGGCAATCATGGCTCTCCACAACTTCCTGTCCTTTGTAGGTCTTAATAAACTTTGTCTTTCTGTTATTTCTACTAACCCCTAATCCACCATCCATCTACTCAAGTTCCTTAAGTAATTTATGCATTGTTTTCCTCTGTCTGTTTTGTCCTCTATCTGTCCAGTGGGTATCAGATTTTCCAAGCCCTCTTTCCTCATTATATGCCCCAGGAACATCAACTGTCTCTCCCTGATATTAAGTATTTCTTTTCATTTCCATTTTCTCCAAAACTTTGTCATTGCTCACATGTTTGGTATTCTGTTTTATTACCTGTCTTTTTATCTTGTCTTGAAATTATTCTGTCTTATCTTCACCGACAATGATTTACCAAAACAATCATATAAAAAAAGAAAGGAAAAATTACCTTGACTCTTTTCAAATCATACTCTAAGATCAGTAACAGATTTTACAAGTATTTACATTCTACTCTGTAACATGAAGAGATAAATAATCTATGATATTAAGATATTTCAAAACCCTTTTATATATCTTTTGTTTATCCATTATATATATAATCTCTTTCTTTCTCTCTCTCTCTCTCTCTCTATATATATATATATATATATATCTGTGTGTGTGTATATATATATATATATATATATATATATATATATATATATATATATATATATCCATCTGCCTTCAAGTAACACATCATGACAAAAACGATAAGTTTTGTACTGAAAATAACTGAACAAACGACTGATGCCTTGAGTTTGTCGAAGTCTCAAGAGCAAATCAAGTTCAATTTCTTTTATTTTCAGTTCACTCCAGACAGTTTGAGCTATGGAGCTAAACTCAGTCATAGAGTTGGTAAGAGGAAAATGCCAACGACAAAATTAGCAAATCTGAATTGGAATAAATTTGCCGCAGTTCATATCCAAACGCAGAATGAGTTATGGATGGACTATTTCGATTGGACTTATCTGAATATGGATTTATCAATTTTAGTGCCCTCAGATTTTCTTTAAGCAAATATTTCCTGGCATTTTGAGTTTAGCCATTTTGACTATCCAAAATTTCCAAGAGAGCTGTTGAAAATAAACAGGACTGGCAGCCTAGAATAGAAGCTGAAATATTTATAGTACTTGAATATCATTGATTGTTAGAATCAAAAACTGATCATTGGAAAAGAGAGAATGGATATTTTGTGCCTTGAGTCTTTCTTCAGACACGTCTAAATGACTTTTAATTTCCCCCTAATTCTTTAAAATATACAAAACTGAAATATAGTACTGTGACTACAGAATAATTATTTTTGGTGTGGTTAATTAAAATTTAAGATATTAAAAATTATTTCATGCTTTTATTTATCTTAATTTTATAACAATTAGTTTTATAGGAGGTCTTATGCCAGACTTTCTTTTATGTGCTTTTATTCACTGGGCCATATGTCCCAGACTAGCAGAAAAAGAATCCCGAGTTCTATATAAAGCATTTTATATAGTTAAAGACAATCTAAAGGAGAAACCTTGCTTATCCTTTTATAATCTGTGTCCCTTCAGGAGAGGGCGATCATGGCTCACTACAACTTCCTATCCTTTGTAGCACTAAGCAATTTTTGATATTACATAACACTCTAATTTTTATTTCTCTCTTTTCCAGTTTCTTGATATTTTGCTTAGTTTCTGGAAAACATTTTTCACTATATCAGTATCTCTTTGGATTTCTGTGTAGTCAGCTACAGTGTGCTAAAGGTTAAGGGATTACAAATTTAGTGATCAGGAAATTGTCCTCTTATGAGTCTGTTTGACAAAATAACAGTTTTTGGGAAGAAGATATCTGAGTGAATCTTCTTCCTTACTAATGGAATATTAGTTTAAAAACAACAAAGATGAAGATAGGAGTTAAAAAGGACTAGAATACTAAAAATGTTTTCTTTCTGAACTCTTAGTTTTTTGTGATCTTTTGTTACGTTAGATCTGCCATCTATAAAAGCTATTTCAGTAAAAAAGAACAAAAGTTATGAACGGTCATTATTTTTTTCATTACAATCATTGAACAATTAACTGTTTAGTGATTTCTACTACATTTTTAAAATAAGAAAACTATATGCAGAATCCAACATGCTTTTTCTAACCTTAGAAAAATTAAGTCTTTTATTATTTGGTAAACTCTTGTTGAACATGTAATTGAATATCTACTCATGTTTTGGAACATTGGGTGATGAGAAATTTAATTCTTGTTATCTGATTAAACAAGAATTATTAACAATAGACATGTTTATAAATTTCATCTAAAACTGACATGCCAAATCTTCAATAACATTGCTTTAATTGTCTAGAATCCAAATGCCAACTGTATGTACCAATGTCACAAGTAGGACACTTTCTGAAGTCGCTTTTAAAACCCAACTCAAGTTTTAATATTTACAGATATTAACACAGCAGGAAACCATAAGTGCTGTGCTAACTCAATACAAAGGAACAATAATTTGTAATTGCACTTTGACATACATTTCAATGACTACATTTGATAAATTGCTTCTTCTTGTTCAAAGACAAACAGGCTTCATAGTGCATATTAAACATTTTATAGGACAGCTAAGATCATTCAGTTTGCATATGGCTTGCATATTTGAAACTTTTGCATCAGATATAAACATGACATCTTCACGAAGCAAAATTCTCAAGTGTTTCAAAATCTTCATCGTGATTAATATAACGAGAAGTGTCTGCGGTTCAGTGACCCATTTTATCATTTCAGCAAAGCAAGTGAATAATTAATTTCTAGAATTCCTTTAGCAGTTACAAATATATGTGTGTA